TAGTTACGTTGCTGGGCTAAAGGGTCTGCACAGTTTAGTAACTTACCTGAGCACAATTCCAAATTGCTTTCCAGAATGGCTGGAATTACCAGATTACAACAGCTCCATCAACAGTGCATCAATGTGCCTGTTTTTCCAAAGCCCCTCCAACATTTATCATTTTCCTTTTTTTCTCAATTTTGACAGATCTGATAGCTATGAGGTAGGACCTCAAGTTTAATTTGCATTTCTCTAATTATTTGTAATTTGAGTATTTTTCATAATTCTATAAATAGCTTGAATTTCTTTGTTTGAGAATTGCCTGTTCATAGCCTATGGCCATTTATAAATTGGAGAATGGCTTTTATTCTTATACATGTGGATCTGTTCCATATCTGTAGGTACATGTGGGTATATTTATTATATGTGTGTATGTATACATACATATACATATATAATTTTGATTAAAAAGTATTTTCTGATTATGTGTACAATTTTTTAACTTTTTTTTTCTTCTTCAAATTTTGAGTTCCAAATTCTCTCCCACCTGCCTTCCCCCCATGTAGTTCTCCCCCACCCATTGAGAAGGCAAGCAATTCAATATAGGTTATACATGTGCAGTCATGGAAAACATGTTTCAATATTAATCATGTTTTGAATCAAAACACCAGGAAGTATAAAGTTAAAAAAAGTATGCTTTGATCTAGATTCAGACTCCATCATTTCTTTCTCTGGAGGTAGATAGCATTTTTCCTCATGAGTCCTTTGGAATTGTCTTAGATCATTGTATTGCTGAGAATAGCTAAGTCACAGTTCTTCATCATACAATATTGCTTTTACTGTGTACAGTGTTTCCTGGTTCTGCTCACTTCGTATTGCTTTAGTTCATGCAAGTCCTTCCAGGTTTTTCTGAAATCTGCCTGTTCATCATTTTTTATTGCACTGTAGTATTCCATTACATTCATTTACTACAGCTTGTTCAGCTATTCCCCATTTGATCCCCCTCAGTTTCCATTTTTTTTTTGGCACCACAAAATGAGCTGCTATAAATATTTTTGTACGCTTTTCCCTTTTTTTATGATCTCTTTGGGATATAGACCTGGTAGTGGATCAAACGGTATATGCACAGTTTGATTGCCCTTTGGGCATAGCTCCAAATTGCTATCCAGAATGGTTGAATCAATTCACAGCTCCACCAAGAATGAATTAGTGTCCCAGTTTTCTCACATCTACTCCAACATTGATCATTTTCCTTTTCTGTTATATTAGCCAGTTAGGTATGAGGTGGTACCTCAGAGTTGTTTCAATTTTCATTTCTCTAATCAGTAGTTATTTGGGACATTTTTTAAAATATGGCTGTAGATAGCTTTGATTTCTTCATCTGAAAATTGCTTGTACGTATTCTTTGACCATTTGTCAGTTGAGGAATGACTTTTCATGTATATGGTTTTTAAAAAGCTCTGTGTGTGTGTGTGTGTGTGTGTGTGTGTGTGTAGTGCTTAAAACTTCACAAAGACTTCTGGAACACCCTGCCTTAAATATATTGGATTCATTTGTGCAAAATCTTTTAAATTTTATTTAATTAATATTGTACGTTTTGTCTTTTATGAATCTTCTTTGTGTCTTGTTTGGTCATGAACTCTTTCCCTATCAATAGATCTGCGAAGTAATTTATTTTAGCCTTCTAATTAGTTTATGATATGATTACTTGTGTGTGTGTGTGTGTGTGTGTGTGTGTGTGTGTATGTGTGTGTGTGTGTGTAAGTAACATACCCATTTGGAGCTTATATTGGCATATGGTATAAGGCATTGGTCTAAACCTATATTCTACCTGACAGCTGTCCAGTTTCCAGTTTTCCCAGTAATTTATGTCAGACAATGAATGCTTACACTAGTAGCTATGGTCTTTGGGATTATCAAATATCAGGCTGCTAGGTTCCTTTGCTTAGGTATGTTGTATACTTAATATGTTTCACTGATGAATCCCTCTATTTTTTAATCAGCATTAAATTGTTTTGATGATTACTGTTTTGTGATTTGATGTTGCTAGACCTTGCCTCCTTCCCATTTGTTTTTGATATTTTTCTTCATAATCTTGACCTTTTGTTCCTCTTGCTAAATTTCATTATTTTTTTCAGCTCTATAAAGTAATCCTTTGTTTCCTATTGCCATGTTTAACAATTACAAAAATCGTACAAATTTGTAAATTTTAATTACTCAGAGTAATATGTTTTAGTGTTCTGAGAGTATGCTACCTTAAATTTAGCGAGGACTCTTTTTTTCTTATTACCTCATTAGTTGTCAAAATAATTGCCTTTCCGTGTTTACAATGTTGGTCTTTTATTTTCAGTCATACCTTTGTTGACCTCTTTCTCTTTTTAAACATATTTGTTATTCAAAGTAAATTTAGTATTAGAAAATTGTGTATTGTTCAACAATGTCTTGTTTTTATTCCTGCATCCCCTTTTCAGGAGACTTTTTGGGTAAGAAATGACCTAATTCTTTTTGGAGTGGACATAACAGCACAGCTTTCTAACAAGCATGGATGCTTTGCCACTTGAATATAATTTCATTCATCTCATGGCATGGATTGTGTATCTAATTGCAGAATTAAAGGGACCTCAGAGTCCATCTAGTTTGATTGGAACCTAAATAGGAATTCCCTCTTACAATATCTCCTACAAATATTCAGAATTTGATTGAAATCAAAGTCCCATTGATGGGAAAGAACCTCAAATAAGGACCCTTTTTTGGGCTGACTGTACCCTGGTCCCAAGTACAGGTTAGGATTTGGTGAGATTGAGTCAGTCAACTTCCCCCCAAACCTTTTACCAGATAATAACAGTAGGAATACATGCAAACATTTAATGAAGATACACAATACATTGATGAGTGCAACTTTCCAGCACCCTCAGTTCCCCATGGGATATTCTTAACTTGGTAGCAACAGCAGCCTTCAGTGAGGTGTCTGTTAGTTCTAAAGAGCTGTACTTCTTGGTAATGTCTTACATGAGGTTCTTTATGTCACTAAAGGTATGCTTTAGTGCTTTGGCCAGTTAGTGAAGCAAGGAGGGATTTATTTCCTAATTTGAAACATGAGTGAACTGTGTATCTTTTAAAAAACAATATTTTATCATGATGATACTTATATTCTCCTTCATGTTCTCTATGTTAATGAACATAGGACTGTTGGCTGCAATTGGGCCTTGAATATATAATTATGCCACATATCCTAGCAAGGCCCTTAGGCCTAGTTAGTCAGTCATAAACAGGTCTCCAAGCCTGTAGATCATGGATAGCACTCACTTCAAAGACCATTCTATTTATTCCTGGCTCTCATTTTTAGGCCATTTTGGCTTACATTTAACCCATTGTTGCCAGTTCTACCTATTTGACCAAGCAAAGTAAATCTAATCCCTTCTTCAAATCCCTGCTTCAAACACTTGAAAATAGTTATACTAACTCTTTCCATCAGGCCAATTAGTCCTGGAGTTCTTTTACTCATTCTTGGGATGGTGTGGTTTCCATCTCTGTGGAATGCTCTGTAAGTTGTTCATTTGCTCCTAAAAAATGGTACCTAGAACTAAAGCATAATAATCTAGATATGGTCGGGCAATGATGCTCCCACTTTTTTTGTCTTGTAATTATTGTCTGTATTTTAGATAGACAGGGTGGCATCATGGATAGAGAGCTGTCTTCAAAGCCAGGATGATTCATGGGTTCAAATCCTCCCTCTAATCCATTCTGACTATGGCCCTGGAAAAATCACCCACCCTCTCAGTGTTGGAGGCAGCTTCATCAAAGATACTTATTTCAGAGAAGGTGTTGACCTTGTATTGGTAGAAGGACTTTCCTCATTCAGGAATTCTGTATACCAGTGACATCACAGGTCTAAGATCTCCCACTGTCCTGTTTTACTAAAGAGGAAAAGAGTCTAAGAAGTTCAGTGACTTGCAGGTGGTCAAATGGCAGATAAGTATTTAGGCAGGTAAGATTTGAATTCCACTCCTCTCCTTCCACTGTATCATAATGCATACAGATATCAGGTCATGTAAAAGGGGCTGGCCCAGATTCTTTCCTTGAGTAAAATCTTCTGTATCATGGCAAAGTAGAAAAAGACTAAATTATGTAGCTTTTGGTATTCTAGTTGGTAACCCTGCAATCAGTTAAATTCACCAACACTAGTACCTAGTATGTGTGCAGTATGTGAGGAATTATGAGTAGTGGCCTTGGATTCAAGAAGACCTGAGTTGAAGTCCTATCTGTGATACATTCTGACTTATGTTTTGTTCTGTTTGAGCTCTCATACCCCTAGGTATGTAGGCAGATAAGCTGTAGGGAAGGTAAAGGAGAAATTTCTCTCTTGGTTCTTCCTTATAACAAAGAAATTGTGTCTGGTCAAAAAGAAATGTTTAAGACACTCTTCTGAATCTGGAAATACAGAGAAAAAAATAACATGTAGTTTCTTTTTTGTGAAAATGTCTATGATATCATTGCTTTCTGCTGATATGAAACACATTCAGGTAATTCGTCTGTACTTATCTTGAGTCCTCAGAATACATCACATGCTTTACATATACTTAAATTCTCACATATTAGATAATTTTAATATGGTGACTTTTCTTATTTTCTTCCTCTCTTTTTCTTCCTCTCTGTTTCATTCTCTACCACCACCTTTATAAGTTTATTGTTAACATGTTAAAACTGAAAAATATTTGGTTATACCTTCTTAAAAACAAAAAAGAGGTACAAATTGGATATTGTTATTTCTCTTTTTGTGTATGAGTTGAGTTGTTTTAGTTTAGTCCTGACAAAAATACCCCTTGATACTGCTGTTATAATAACAAGATTGCCTTTTTCCCTTTCCTTGTAATCCCCTTGGTATCACAATTAATTTTTAAGCGTTACTGTCTTGAACTGATTAGTATTCATCTTCAGTCTACATATAGAGTAAAAGTTATGTTTACTGTTAAATTCCTTGAAATATGGATAATATGTGAAGCTTTTTTTTTTTTTGGCAGTGATGGCAATGTGAGCCAGTCACAAGATGACAGTGTCCTTGGAACAAGGCAGTGTAGGCATAGTCTAGCTATAATGCCTATTCCTGGAACTCTTTCCTCAAGTAGCCCTGATCTCCTGCAGCCTACAACTAGCATGTTGGATTTTTCTAATCCAACAGGTAAGTATTCTGCTCATTTTATTTAAGGTCAATTAATTGAATATTGTATTTGGGAGAAAATATATAGCTGAATTGTACAGGAACTATCAAACTAATGATAGATTTATATTAACCTGGTTCTCCAAACTGTGGGTTATGAATTCATGGAGGAAATTGAAGAGGGAAGATATATTCTGTATGAACAAGACTGAGTTATCTTCCCAGAAGACCCGTAGAAGTGTCCAAGATTGTGACAAGGCTGTTGGTTATGATGTCAGAATTATTTGGCTTTGCCTAATTAATCCTGGAAGAGAATGTGGGAATGAAATCTAAGGAAAGTTTTTTTCTTCAAGGCCACAAAATATGCATCCCATGATGTACAGGAGAGATACAAGTTCAGAGTGTGTGTGTGTGTGTGTGTATGATAAATTACCTTTTTACCTTTAAAATAAATTACTTATATTTCACAAATATATAAAGCTTTTGAGTTTCTGTTGCTTTCAAAATGTTAGGAAATTACAGCATTGTAGTCATTATTGTAATAACTAAGATTTCAGTGCATACCATTGGTGGTATTTTTATTTAATATATTTTCTTTACTAATTTATTCCTGTCTTTATTCAATATTTGTTTTGTGTTCACCCCTTACTTAATCACCTTTAGATACCTCAACATTATTGACTAATCAGTTAGGTATTTTTAAGAGGCTATTTATTATATACCAGGCATTGTGTAAGTATTGAGTATAAAGACAAAAATGAAACTGTCTTGCCCTCAAAGAGCTTGCATTCTAATGGTGGAGAGAGTATGTACATATATATGCATAAAGAAGATGCAAATAAAGTAAATACAAGATAGCCTTGGATGGGAAGGCACCAGTAGGTTCAGGAACTTGGAAAAGCCTTCCGTACAATGTGGCATTTGAGCTGGTTCCTGAAGGAAGGCTGGAACTCAAAGAGACAGAAATAGGAGAGAGCATTCCAACCACGAAGGGCAGTCATTGCAAAGGCATGAGAGATGATAGAGTGTCATGTGAGAAGTAACAAGTATGTGACTATGGATAGAACATAGAGTGTGTAGAAGGAAATAGCATGTAAGAATACTGAAGAGGTAGAAAGGTTTGTAAAGAACTTTAAGTATGAAATGGAAAGTTTTTTTGTATTATTTTGTTTTGTTTTGTTTATTCCTGAGGTAATAGGGAGCCCCTGAAGTTTGTGGAGATCAGATTACATTGATGGCTTCATAGAGGAATAGATTGAAGTTTGGAAATGAGCCCAATTTAGATGCTATTGGAATAGTCCAGCTAGGAATAATGAGGCCCTAAACTAGGGTAATAACTGTGTAAGTAGACAGAAAGTGACATATGGGAGAGTTGTTATAGAGAAAGAAATTATGAGATTTTCAGCTTATTGAAAACGTGGGGTGAGAGTGAGGAATTGAGAATGAAACCCAGGTTGAGAACCTGGGTAATTAAAAAGATAATGATCCACTTGGGAATAGGTTTTGGGAGAAAGATAATTACTTTTGTTATAGACCTGTAGGACCAAGTAGTTAAGGTTACTATTATGCTGCTAAAATTAGATCTTATTGGGAAGATAAACTCTTTGAAGAGTCAGTCATTTTTAGCAATGGACATAGTGCTTTATACAAAGTAGATGCTTAATAAATATTGACTGAATTAAAATTCAATTCATTTCAACAGGAATGCCTACTGTACAATGTTTGGAGGTAGAAAAAGTTAAAATCCAGCTTGCCCCCTTCCTACTTTTCCATTCTTCTTACTCCTACCCCACCCCTAGCCTCGTCCCCCACCACATGTTCTGAGATCCAGTTACCGTGGCTTCCTTGCTGTTCATGAATGAGACTTTTCATCTCTTGACTTCAGGCATTTTCTCTTGGCTGTCTCTCATGCCTGGAGTACTCTCCCTCCTCATCTCTGCCTCCTAACTTTCTTGACTTCATTCAAGTCTCAGCTAAAATCCCACCTTCTCCAAAAAGCCCTTCCCAATTCCCCTTAATGCTAGTGCCCTCCTTCTGTTAATTCTTTCTAATGTATCCAGTTTATATCTTGTTTGTACTTGCTTGGATGTTGTTTCCCTGTTTAATTGTAAGCTCCTTGACAGCAGAGACTATTGTTTACCTTTCTTTATAGTTTTGGCACTTAGCAGAGTGCTTGGCACATAGTAGGTGCTAAATGAATGCTTGTTGACTTGAGAAAAATGGAAGTCCTTGCCCTCATTATACTTCAGCCAGATACATAAAAGTATAAAACAATTTGTATATTTTTTTATTCTGAACTTAACAAAAAAAGAGCATTTCCACATATACAGCAGTACTTAAAGAGAGGATTTTATATGAAACTGTAAATCTCCGCTTTATACTGCTTGCTTTATTTTTTAGAATTTTGGTTTAATTTTTTTTTCGATTCAGATATATTTTCTCTCTTTCCCATCTCTATACTCCCAGCTGATCCCCAACAAATTCCCACATTGGCCACATCCAAAAAAATATATATATGTGCATGTTATATATATATATATATATATACATACACACACACACACACACACACACACACACATACACACACACACACACCACACACATATATATATCTATATATAGATATATAGATATATAGATATTTCACTCCCACCCTAGGTCTGCCACTTCTCTTGTCAGAAGGTCCTCTGGAGATGTGGTTGGTCATGGCCTTTTAAATTCTTCAAAGTTATTTACCTTTTCAGTGTCATTCTGTGTCATTCTACAAATTGTGCTCTTGGTTCTGCTCATTTTTCTCTGTATCAGTTTACGCTACTCAGGATTCTCTCTAATTATCTCTTTACTTCTTATGCCACAATAATCTATTACATTCATGTGCCACAGCAGTTCCCCAGGTGAGCAGCATAAATTGCCATTCTTTGCTCTTTTTTTTTTCCCCTTTTAATTCCTCTACATGAGCAGGAGTATTTTTTTTTCGTTGTGGCTATTTGGACCAGCTTTTGAAAGATAAAATCATTCTTATGAGTCAAGCAATTTGCTTCTGTACTTTGGATACAGGGAAAATACTAGCAAATGTCTATATAATTAAAGCCCCTGAACTTTCTGTGTTATGAGGCAAGTTTGACATAATGGAAAGAATGCTGGAATTAGAGGACCTGGATTTTAATCTCTGCTTTTCTCCTTGATATCTTTAGGCAAGTCACTTAAACTCAATTCCTCATCCATAAAATAAAGAGATTGAATGAAATGTTATCTCAAGTCCCTAAGTCTGTGAATCCTGTGCCAGGCCTGTGATCTTATTTCCCAAACTCCTCATGCTTTCTTTCCTTCTGTCCAGGTGGCCTAAACAGTATATTCTTATAAATATTGAAGGTTAGAATACTTAGCAAGTTTTTTTTTCTTATACTTGGGTTTACTTCTGTTCTCATAAATATTTATTCAATAAAAACCTTATGTCTTAGTTATCATTATTGTAATGATTATTGAGCCTTTCCTCTCTAGTTAAAAAAAAGTAAAATTAGTGAAAATTATATATATTTCTGTAAAAAGAAAAAGAAACATTTTCATTCATTGACAAAAATACATTTTTCATGAATAATTGCCTTAGAAAATAAGTAAAAATAAAAGGATAGTTGATTGTTTTGGTAATAGTTTTCCTTGATTTGAACACGTATGAACATAAGTCTAAACATACAAATATGCCAATATAAGTTATATCTTGATAAACCCTCTTATCAGGAAATAATTAAGGAATTGGTATTTAATGCAAATCAGATGAATGAATTGGTATTTAATTTAATATATATATGTATAAAATTGTTGATATATTTGTTTCAAGCAAAGCATTTTTTCTTGATTAAATTCATTATTGTCCATGAATGAATGAAAATGCGATAGAATTTCCCTATAATTGCTTTGGAATTAACAGGCAGTTTTTTCAGGTTCTTTTTGGATATGAACTCGTTCAAACTAAATATTGGTCAGTTTCTGTAAATCAGCTATAAATAAAACCTACTTCTTAAACGTGCTTATTGTTCGTCCTGATTTGTTATTTTGGTGTGTGCATGTGCGTACCCATGAGTATGTGCATGTAAACATTCCATTGCCTCACCACTATCTCAGTATAACACTTGTACAGACCAGTTACTGGAGTCAGTTACAAGGGAACTATTCAAAAGTATGCCTTAGGTATAAATTTTTAAAGTCCGTATTTCTGAATCAGAATTCTGTTAAGAGTATGTTCACGTGAAAAGATCCCCACAGCAACATTTCCCAAAGGAACAGTAAAGGAATCCTGTTATTAAACCATCTGATGATGCAAGTTTACCAGAGGCGTTTCATTTAGAGGATAATGCTGTTCTTCCCATACTTTGTTTGAAGTATTCATTTTAGACCATTTAGTAAGATGCACGTGAGAGCAGATTTCTGGAAGTATCTTACAATAATAGCAGGTGAAGCTTATTAATGTTTATCAGAGCAGATTAGATTTCTTTTTGTGCTGCGTGCTAAACATTTTTTAACTGAAAAAGAAAAAAGCCTTTAGAATAGTTTAATATTTTGCTTCTTATGATTGGAATTTAAAACATGGTTTTGCTTTGTTTTTGCTGCCTGTAGCTGTTGGTTTTTACTGTAAGTATGTTTTGGATTGCAAGTTCTTTGCATGGTATATTTGTGTTATATTAATTGCTTCCTGTGTTTTAAGAGTTATTATTTTGTCCTTTTTACTAAATATCCAAATACAACATGTGAAAGTTAATTTTCTGTGAGATTATAATTTTAAAAGGTTTAAATCCAAAAGTTACTATTTGAAATCATGACAGATTTTTATAATAGTTTATATTCAAATCATTTTTAATAATCCTGAATTGGAAATTGTCAGTAAGGGAAGGAGATTGTAATTTCTCAGATCAACTCTCCAGTACCTAGAAAGAAGGTGGTGTACTAAAGTGTAAATAATTTTGGAAGAACAATCAAAAGAAGTAGATGTAATGCTAGCTGTTCCAGTAAATCACTGTTACCTTGAGTAAATCACTTCCCAAAATGAAGGTTTGGTAGGCTTTGGGGCTGATTTTCTTCATGTATAGTTAGATTCCTTTCAAAAAAGATTGTATAGTCCTACTGGTACATGTCCTTATTTCTCTACCACCTATCCTATGTTAAATTTTGTTACTTTTAGATATTTTTGTCAATTTGATAAGTGTAAAATAATACTTAAAATTTTGCTTTTCTGATTATGTCCAATTTTTTTTCAAGTGATTATTTATATTATGTGTGTCTGATTTTATCAAGAGAGGCTTCTGTGCTTGACTCCATTCTACCTCTTACTTTAAAAACTATTTTATTGATGCCGTTTGTTCTCATAGTGAGCTGTTTTCTGAAAATACCCCACTATTCCATAAACCAACATCCCTTTTTGTAAAATTCATGTCTTGTTATGAGACCTTGGCCAAGTGACTTTACCTTACTGGATCTTGCTTTCTTCAACATAAAATGTAAAGAACTAGGTTTCTTAGGTCTCTTTTCACCCTAAATTCTGTGATCTTATTATTCAGTGTTACTCTTGAATATTTATATCAATACTTTATATGTGTTACTTTTTGATTTTTTATGTGCTGTGAATGTTCTTCCTAGTTCAATACTTTAAAAAATATTATGTAATTTTTGTGGTACAGAATTTTATTTTCAAGTAATCAGATCTAATTAACTATACCTTGTATTGTCTTTCCTTTTCTTGACATTTATATATTTTTCTGCTCTCCATAATTTAGATAAAAATATCATTCCCCTTAATTTTTACAGTTCATTTTCTTATGTTTTACTGTGTGATACAGCAGAATTTCTTGTGATATATATATCGTGAACCTAAAATTTTTTTTCATCAGGTTGTTCTTCTTTCTTTTTCCTTCACATTTATTAAATAATCTTTTTCTCAGTTTTTATGCCAAAAACTTATAATACATCATGGGACAATTTGAAAAAGTAGACGTCCTCATCTACAAACGGAGGGGTTGGACGAGATGGCCTTTGAGATTCTTTAAAGCTCTCTCTATATGTGTCTTTTTGTTTTACATGATTCTGTTTCTAAAATTTCTGTCCTGTTCCACTTGTTTTTGTTTCAGGTTTTTGGTCCAGTCCAAGATAGATTTATTGAAAACTTTGTTGTAATATGTTTTAAAGTGAGGAAAGCCAGATCTGCATCCATTCCCCCACCTCCCACCCCCACTTCCCACTACTATTTCAAAATCATTCTTGCCCATTTATTTTTCCATATAATGTCTAGTTTAATAATAATAATAAAAAAGCATTTTAATGATATAGGATTTACAATATACTTTATGTATTTTGACTCTTATTTGAGTTTCATAATAATCCTGTGCAGTCAGTGCTATACATGGTTTTATTTCCATTTTACACATAAAGAAAATAAGGGAAGGGGAGGCTGAGTGACATGCCTGTGGCCACTTAGCTAATAGCTTTCAGATTGGAGTATGGTTAAGAAGGGTAGTGATAAAATATATCCAGCAAGGCATAGTGAGAATGTATTTTCCTGGAGTTTCACAAATCTAATCAAAAGGACTTTAAATTGATTAGGGAGAGAGGAGAGAGAAGAGAGAATATTAACAGTGTACTTCCATCAATCTATATGGCATAGAGAATAGCTATGTAGGGCCACAGAGTAGGGACAAGAATAGATACAGAGATATTCAGAAGTTTATGCGAGACAGAATGCGAGGAAGGAGCCAGTGAGAAAGTCCATGCCTGATATAATTTTTAAAATGTAGAAAAGTGTAGGTTGAAGAGATGTGGAGAAGCGATCTCGACCTCAGCAGTGTCACCAGGATGTGGTGGAGAGAGACTTTTGTTGTTGTTGTGTTTGTTCTTTCTTTATGAGGACCATGACATCAGGGAGATGATGACATGACTTGCAATTGACTTTTAATTGGAATATGACTCTAGAAGGATGTGCTTTATTCAAAAGAAGCAGAATAGATGTAAGGGATGGTATTGGGAGAATAGCACTGTATTTTCTCTTAATGTACTGGGGAGAAGCATAATATAGTGCATTTAGGTAAAGATCAATAGAGGTAGAAATAGAAATATATGTCAGATCACCTAGATTTTAAAGGAAATACATAAAAAGTTTGAGAAATAAATCATAAACTTTGCATAGAGGCATGATGGTAGTGATTAGGGATGCAAATTATCCAGGTATTTGCTGGACCTTCCGTTTTGTCAAAAGCAGATAAGCTAATAATGTTTGAACATGCCGTAATGGCAGTTTCATTCTTCCAAAGGTAGGGAAATCCACAAGGGAAGTCCTGTTCTTAATCTGAAAGTGACTAAGAAGGAGCAACTGGTTGCTACGGTGGAAATTGAGAACCAGGGGAAAAGTGACTGTCCAGAAACTAGATATGACATAATCAAGATTTAAAAAAAAAAAGTCAAGCATTGGGCTAAATCTAAGAAGATAAAATTTAGTCAGGAATAAATGTAAATTCTTTAATTGAATTCAGAAGCTTAATTTCACCCATATATGACAGTGGATGTCATAGGTAGGCAGCAGTTTATCTAAAAATTATATGGAGGTATTAGTGAAATGTAAGCTCTGAATGAGTCAAGAATGATATGGGAACCAAAAAAAACCTAATGCAGTTTTAGACTTTATTAAGAGAATCCCAGAGTCTGAGAAAAAGAAGGTGGTATTTCTTTTGTTTTGTTTTGCTTAGGCAGTGAGGGTTAAGTGACTTGCCCAAGGTCACACAGCTAGTAAGTGCCACCCAGCTGCCCCCAAGAAGGTGATGTCTCTCCTGTAGTCTACCCTGGTCAGACCATATTTGAATATTTTATTCAATTCTGGGCACCACATTTTATGACCTAGATTTATAAGATGTATGATGTCCAGAGGGGAGTAGCCGGGGTGGTGAAGGGCTTAAGTTCATGAGGATTGACTAAAAGACTTGGGGATATTTTACACTGGTGAAGGGAAGACTTAGAAGGATATAATAGCTGTTTTCAGATATTTAAAGAACTGTGAGTCATAAGAGGTTTTGAACTTTTGTTTGGTCCCCAGTAGTAGAACCAGGAGTGAAAGGAGGAAATTACAAAAAGGCTTGATATGCAGAAAACTTCCTGAAGCACAGTGCTACCCAAAGGTTGGACCACCTTATGAAATATTGGATTCCTTCTTGTTAAAAGTCCGTTTTCAAGCAAAGATGACCACTTCTTGGTGTGTGAAGTATAGACGATTTTAGTTCAGACAGCCTCAAGTACTGATATTCTCCTCCCAGATGTTTATCCCATAACCTCGTTGTGATCCTCCTCATTCTTTGTTACACCTGTTACAGCCTGGTTCACTCATGGTCAGTCAGTCTTTTCCATGATCTGAAAGGCATTGTACTCATCATGGTAAGAAGAAAGAAGCTGATTTTAAGACTTGGTTGCAGTACTGGGAATAGATTCCCAAGCAGTAGATTGGGCATAGTATGAAAGTATGTAGGAAAGTATGTGCATTTTTGAGGCTTTATAATTTAATTTCTCACTGGATTTGGTATTTATCCTGTATTGATCAAAATAGGTCATTATTAGTAATTGAAAGAAATGTGTTTATCATTATAGACAGTGTGGCATAATGAATAGAAAGCTAGCCTCAGAGCCAGGAAAACCTGAGTTCAAATGTTACCTTTGACCCTCGGCAAATCACTTCTCAGTACTCTACGCAACTCTAAGACTTTAAATTGCAAGGAAGGTGCTGTTGTATATTTGTAGAGGAAGTTTCCTTATATGTGAATTTCCTGTGTACATGTCCAGTCCCTCTACCTATTTTTTTTCATTATGTTTATGATGTTTTAAATATTGAGGACTAAATATCTTCTTCCCTTCAGTTTGGTGGCATCGCAAAGTAAATGCAAATAGAAGTCTCCCACATTACACTAAGAAATTGAAAACATCATGTGTTTGTGTTTATTCTTTTCAAAACAAGTTAATGAATACATTTTAAAATTTTACAAAAATAATATTGGGTATCTTTTTATTCACATAGATATTCCGGATCAAGTTATAAGAGTTTTTAAAGCAGATCAACAAAGCTGCTACATTATCATCAGTAAGGACACCACAGCCAAAGAAGTCGTTTCCCACGCAGTACATGAGTTCAGCTTGACAGGAGCCCCTGAGACGTATTCCCTCTGTGAGGTTTCTGTTAGTCCAGAAGGTGTTATAAAGCAGAGAAGACTTCCAGATCAATTCTCCAAATTAGCAGATAGAATTCAACTAAATGGAAGGTAAATGTGGCCTTGCTTTTTAGAGGGTATGATCTCAAAATTTAAAGCACTTGTAATAAAACATAAGTAATAACCTTCAGTGTTGCATTAGAAATGTAAGAGCATAATTGAGTTTTATTGTTTAAGTTTATCTAAAATTCAAATTAAATTCTCTTTCTAATTTTTGATCCATCTTTGAAATTGAAAGGATGAATATTTGCTTACTTTTAAAGAAATAATTCCTGGTAGCTTAATTTTTTAGCTCAAGAATTGTGGAGGCAGGAGCAGCTACGTGGTGCGGTAGATAGAGCACTGACCTTAAATCAGGAGGACCTGAGTTCAAATCCAGCCTCAGACCAAACACCTTGCACTTATTAGCTGTGTGACCCTGAGCAAGTCACTTAACCCAATTGCCTTAAAAAAAAAAAAGAATGGTAGAGGCCATTAGTGTCAGAGCAATTTAATGCTCAAAGGGAGATGGGAGAGACTTGGATATGTGTGTAGACATCAGGGAAGGAATGAGTGGATAGAGAAAGCCTTAAAATGATGGGAATGATACTGAAGGTTTATTTTTCAGTGATTTCCAGTGTGCATTCCAGCTTCAGTAATCTGTGAAGCTATGAGTGAATGCAGTGTGTCCTTGTGTTATGATATAGCTTGTGTCAACCTCCATATCAGAGTTTGTTCTAGACAAATGGATTAGGTTGTGTCCACATTTTACTTTCTCTCAAGCTGGCGACAGTTACAGTGCAGAACTGGCTTGATTTGGAAGTTGGGGTGTTTATATGCCTTTTTAATAGGGCCTGATATCATCCCATTATCATTTACCTCAGGACAGAGGAAATACTTGTCCTATCAGACCACCCCCCAACCATACCAGGCTACTGCCAGCCTTGGGCTGCCTAGGCAGAAGAATCTGTCTCCACCCAAGCCGGAGCAGAACACAGTGAAGCTTCCATATTTTTGAGTAAATCAATTCAGGCTTGGATTGGGGTTTGACTAGGATAAGGAGATTCAGAGATTCAATGCAATCTCATTATCAGTAATGTCCTTCTAAAGGAGAGTCTGAACTTTGGAAGGGGGAGGGGGCTGAAAGAGGGGGGAAGCTCTGAGTCTCCAAGATACAGATTACTAAGAAAAAGTCATTTTTCACACTTGACTAGAGCAAAGGGTTTGCAAAGCCATTGAATGACAGCTGGAAGAGACCTCAAGGTCATGGGCTCTAACACCTTCCTCTCAACGATGAGAAAACAGGCTTAATGAATTAAAGTGGCTTAATGAAGGTCACCCCAGCAGAAGTGTGACCAGACTCAGAACCCAGATAAGGAGGAGTAGAATTGGACTTAAGACCCACATTTCCCTAGGATTTTCTTATGATTCCCTGGATTATTCTTTTTCCAGTGATTTACACTCATATTAGGAAGTAATAGAGAAAAAGGCTTATAGTAAGCACTGTAAGTACACAGGACACTTGTCTCTCAGAGTTTTCCCTCTGAAGTCCCTAGCTGTAGTATAATGTACCCTCTAGCTGCTTGATAGAATACTTTGCCACTGTTATGGCAAAAATGTCATCCCTGATATATAACATTAAACTGAAAAGGCATTAGAGTGAATTATTATACAGCATGGTCTAGAACAAATGTTAAACTGGAGTCCACAGAAGTCTGTGGATAGATTTCAGGGGGTTTATGAACTTGGATAGAGAAAAAAAATGACCCTTTCCTTAATTAGGTAAAAAAAGAGGTCCATTACACACAAAAGGTTAAAAATTCCTAGCCAAAAATAATTAAATAATTTATTTTCCTTATTTTTATCATTTTAATATTAGCAGTATCACTAGGCATGTTGATATATACTTTCCAACCTAATATGTAGAGTTTTAGAAGTCATGTGGAAAGTGTATACTTTATAGTCATTTTATCTTCCTTTAAAAAATTATATTGATATCTTTTGTTTTTCATATAACTAGACTTTTCCCCCCATATTCCTCTATCTACCCCTTCCAGAGAAATATGAGAAATAATATTTTTAGTGGGGGAAAAAACAGAAAGAAGAGGGGGAAAAATCAGCAAAATTCATCATTACATCAAAAAAAGTCTGATATATAATGTACCAATATGTGGATCTCTCCTTCTGCAGTGGAGTGGGATGGGGGTGTCTTCTCATATCTCTTTGGGCCCATGTTTGTTCTTTGTATCACCTTTGATAATTTTGTGATTGTTCTTTCCATTTACCTTCTTGGAGCCTTTGTATATGTTATTTTTTTGGCTCTGTTTACTTCATTCTTTATGTTGTGTAGCTCTTTCCATGTTTCTGAGTAGTCATCATTTCTTACAACACAGTACTATTCCATTATATTATGTACCACAGTTTGTTTAGCCATTCCTCAGTTAATGGTTTGTTGTTTGTCCTTTGTTCTCAAAGAAGACCAATGACATCACAAGGGTGATGTCTTGACTTGTGTATGAATTAGATTTGAATGATATTCTTTCCTCCAGAGTCATCAAAGGCCAGTGGCAAGACAAAGGTCAAGGTAATTGGTGATAGACCAAGATGCAGTGGGTGACCTTGGTCTTTCTAAATTAAGGTTTTTCCCAGGTCTCAGTTTGTCTGAGGCCACGCTCATTCAGTGATTAAGGGCTAGGTAAGAATTGAGACAAAAGATGGTCTATTTTACCATCACAGAGATCATTCTGGTAGGGGAAAACCCTCTGAGTTTCTTTCTTTTTTTTTTTTTAAACCCTCTGAGTTTCTGACCAGAACAGAAAACAGTTGCTATTTACACTCATTTAGGACATCAGAACCTAAAGGATGATCCACTGAGAGCTTGGGCTGGGGCTATTATTAGCCGTTCAATGAAAGCCAGAATGATTTGGGTTGAAAAGTTTAGTCAAGTTGGGCTTTTTGTAAAGCCTGTTTTTAAAGATACGTATTTCAAGAAATCGAAACCAAAAACTGACCAGGACAAAAAGTAAATTGTTCCAGCTTTTTGAAAAAAAAAAATTGAGAAGAAGAAGAAGGAAGTAATAGCAGCAGCATTTCCCAACTTCCATTTGAATTGAAGGTTGGGTCTCCAGAGGGCAGCTGCTACTACTTTCAGATAACATGGTAAAGATAGTTAATGCAAAACATTCTCCTGAGAACTTGATTCATTCCTTCCTACCAATACACAGAAGCTTAAACTTAGCCCATAATAGTAGTGAGGCACATATATAAGAAATATGTGTGATAGGATTTAACTCACATCACCTGCTCTGTGTAGAGAATTCTTGCAGATCCGTTGTTGTTCATCCTTCATTTGAAGAGGACCAGTGCCATCACAAGGGTGTTGTCTTGACTTGCCGGTGAATTGGATGTGTAAATTCATCAGTCTCCTCTAATAAATGGGCATTTACTTTGGTGTACACAAATGATGAGTTCAGGGGTGCACCCCAAGAATGTTGGGGTGCCACCTGAAATAATGGAGTAAAGATGTGAGGGTTCTATTATCCTGAAAGAAATTCACTCAGTCTCCAAGTTAAAGAAATGTATTTATTGGGGTAATGCAACCAAGCAGGTCTGCTTCCTGTGAGGTAGAGCCCCAGTGTGCTCTACTTCACATGAGAGAGCATAGGCAGTGAGCCTTGCTTCTCGTAGGAAGCAAAGGCAGTTGGCCAGGTTAAAGGTATGGTTTAAATACAATTTTATGGAATGAGGAGAAGGGGAGGACTGCTCCAGGATGTCATGTAGTCCATACAGATAAGCAAAGACAGTAGGAAAGGGGAAGGGAAGAGTTGTCAGGTAAATTGCTGGTGCTTTATGAAAGCACACAGGTAAGTCCATTTGAGGGGCTTCAGTGCATAGTGTTCTTTGATCAGTTTCCTGACTGGTCACATCCTGCATCTTATCTCATATCCTGCATCCTGTTTGCTCTGTCTTACCTCATCATTAAGACTTTCTTTTTATCAGTGGCTTATACTTATGGTATATATGTAGTAATGGAAGCTCTAAGTCAGAGAGTATGGACATTTTAGTCATTTTATTTGCATAATTCCTAATTGCTTTTCAAAAGGGATATACTGATTGACAGCTTTACCAACAATACACTAGTGGACCTGTCTTCTCACAACTTTAATCACGCCCATTTTTTCTTCCAGAGTGTGCAATAAAACTTCAGGGTTGTTTTGATTTGCATTTCTTTTAATATCAGTGTTTTGGAAAATCACATGGTTGTTATTAGCTTGTAATTTTTCTTTTGAGAATTGTTTACTGAATATTTTTGTTCGTGAATTGTTTAGTTTTTTATTCAGAAAAATAACTACTCTTTGTAATTGAAATAATTTAAAAGTATTGCTTTCCTGTTATTAATATTTTAACTAATATTTGCTGAATTTCTGCCAGAATATGATTGTCAGTATTGATGCGTGTACTTAAGGTCAAGGTACAGTTCACGTATTTTTTATCTTGTGAACATATAAAAGTAATCACTTACCAACCAGCTATATAGTCTTTATTTCAAATGTTGATTCACCAGTTCATTCTAATAAACATTTTGTAGAGAATATAATTGGCCAGATGAATACTTACTGAGAAATAATAAATACATAAGATGAAATGTGTGTGTGTGTATATATATATATATATTTTTTTTTTTGCTATGATTAACTTTTTCTCTCTCTTGCTCTCTTTTTTTTAAAGGTACTATCTAAAAAATAACATGGAAACTGAAACCTTGTGCTCAGATGAAGATGCCCAAGAATTACTTAGGGAAAGTCAGATAACCTTATTGCAACTTAGTACCATTGAGGTAGCAACTCAGCTGTCAATGAGGGACTTTGAATTATTTCGAAATATTGAGCCTACTGAATACATCGATGATCTTTTTAAGTTGAACTCCAAAACAGGGAATGCTCACTTGAAAGAGTTTGAGAACATTATAAACCAAGAAACATTCTGGGTTGCAACGGAAATTTTGACAGAATCAAATCAGCTCAAAAGGATGAAGATTATTAAGCATTTTATTAAAATTGCTCTTCACTGTCGAGAGTGCAAGAACTTCAATTCCATGTTTGCAGTAATAAGGTAATTTTTTTAGATTACGTATATATAATTGAGTACAGCTCTGAGTAATATTAATAATGAGGCTAAAGTTCTGTTTTAGAGTTTACTTCTTCCAGAGAAACTGCCAGAGTCTGCAGTAAAACTTCAGGTTTGTTTTGATTTGTATTTCTTTTAGTATTAGTGTTTTGGAAAATCTTTCACATGGTTGTTATTAGCTTGTAATTGTTTATTGAATATTGATTCATGAATTATCAGTTATCAGATATCATTAATTTTTCACCTAACAATCTTATTTTCTACCATAGCTTCTAAGCCATTTAAATTCTTCCCAAATTTCTATCTCTAGGGCTGAGCTCCAGACCTATGTTTCCAGCATTCATTATTAAGCTGTTTCAATACCTTCTCTATAGTTCTTCTTGCATCTAGTCCATCCTGTATATTGATTCTAAAAATAATCTTTCTTTTGTATTGATGTTTGTGTCATTTTTTTCTCTAAAATATGCATAGACTTGTTATTATCAGAATCTATCACTGCCTTATCTTTTCAGGCAGTGCACACCTGAGAATATTTTGGTGATGCAAAATACCAACCATTATATGAAGTAGGCATTAAGAAAAGGATACTTTTTTTTTAATAGAGGCAGCTAGGTAGTACTGTGGATAGCACCCTGGAATTGGAGTCAGGAAGACCTGACCTTGTGACCTTGGGCAAGTCACTTAATCTAAGGAAACTAAGTTTTCTCATCTATAAAAATGAGGATGATAACTCCTACCTCCCAGAGTTGTTATGATCAAATAATATGTACTTTGTCCACCTAAAGTGCTGTGTGCTAGTTTTTGTAAAGCCAAAAGTACTTTGAGCAATGTTTATTTTCAAGCTTTTTAAAAAAATTATTATATGCTCAACTTTAAATAGGGATGGGGGGGCACTGTGTGATTTTGTTGGTATAGGGAAGTTCTGGATGAAGAAACTCTGACTAAAGAGGTCAGCATCTTCTCTGCAATTTATATTCTTATAGAGTTGCCTAGAGCACTGAGAGATTAAGTGACTTGCTCAGGATAACTAACACATGTGGCAGAAGTGAGACTTGAACCTATGTCCTCCTGGTTTTGAGGCTCTATACATTGTGCAACACTACCTGTCTTTAATTTTAAATGACAGATACAAAGAAACACATTCATAGTTATGTACACTTAAATGAATTTTGACAGTTATATCCATAAATAATCTTTTTCCTCTGTATTATATTTTTTCTTTAATTCTTAATTCATATATGTTTTGGTATATATATATATATATATTTCTTCTTATGTGGTAGTGGTATATAGCCAGATAAGTAGATAAAGTGCCGTACCTAGAGTCAGGAAAACCCGAGTTCAAATCCAGCCTCAGATACTTAGTAGCTGTGTGACCCTAGGTAAATATGTGACTTCTGTCTTTGTTTCCTTATCTGTAAAATGAGAATAGGACCTATTTCTAGGGTTGTTGTGAGGATAAAATGAGATAATATTTGTAAAACCCTTTGCAAATCTTAATTCACTATTATATAAATGTTAATCTTGTTATTTTGCATACATCTATTCTGGTTGTTTTTTATTTGCTTAAATTGCTTCATTTGCAAATTGTTTTATATTCCTTAATAATTTTGATACTATTTTAGTATTGCATTGAGATATTATATTATGTTCAACCATTTGCCAGTTGTGAACACACATACACACACACACACACACACACACACACACACACACACACACACACACACCCTACATCAACTTTCTTTTGAATGGTGGGGGACATACTTCATCGCAATTCCTCTGGAATCATGATTGGTCATTTGTGTTGATCAGAGTTTCTTGCTACCTCTTTATAACAAAGAAGATCTATTCCCATGTCCCACTTTGCTCTTTCCCTCACCCAGAGTTCAGAGACGGGTTCATAACCTTTTTTCTTTCCTTTTAAACTCCTCTTAGCCATCAGTCTTCCATTGCCAGAGTTATTTCTGCTTAGGATGAATCCCTCTCTTAATCCCTTTTCTTTCTCCCTTTTTCCCTCACATTACCTTGTTGAGTGAAATGTGTTTTTACACCCAGCTCTCTCTCCCCTCCTCTGGACAGTTCAAATGAAAGTGAGTTTCAGGAGTTGCTCACCCCTCTCCTTTTTTTCTTTGTTTTTTACTTGCACACCTAAAGTAGCTGAGATAGTCTCACCCATCTTTCCTATTCTCCACCCCCTCCCCCAATTCTTCTTTTATCATCATCAAATTCTTCTTTTAAGATCATCAAATCATAACAAAACCACACCTGGGCCTTTGCCTCATTAGACTTCCTCTTTGACCCCTTTTGATGATAGGGTTCTGATGGGACACACATTCATCTCCCTGTATTAGAATGTTAACACTTCATCCTTGTTTTATCCCTTATGATTGCTTGCTCATATTTACCTTTTGATGTTAGTCTTGACTCTTGCATTTGTACTTGAGAACTTCTACATAGCTCAGGTCTTTTCATCAGGAATGCTTGGAAGTCCTCTATTTCATTAGATCCATTTTTTTCCCACTGTAGGATTATACTCATTTTTGTTGGTTAAGTTGTTCTTGATTTTAAGGCTATATCTTTTGACTTCTGGAATTTTGTATTCCTAAGTCTCCATTCATTTTTGTGTTGGCTGCTGCTGAATCTTGTGTGAGCCTAATTGTTACTCCTCTGTACTTGAGTTCTTTCTTTATGGCTGCTTGCAGAATTTTTTTCTTTGATCTATGAGCTCAGGATTTGGGAAATAATGTTCTTAGCATTTTTCACTTTAGATTTTCTTTTAGTAGATAACTAATAGATTTCAAAAATTTGTACTCTGCCTTCTGTTTCTAAGAGATTTGGGAAATTTTCTCTTATAATTTCTTTAAATATGATGTCTAGCCCTTTTTTTGGTTATAGATTTCGGGTAGTTCAATGACTCTCAACTCAGTTCTCCTGGATCAGTTTTTCAGGTCAATTAAAATAAATTTATTTAAACATCTTCAGTTTTGTGACTTTGTTTTATGCACAGTAATACAAACATTCTAGAGTCACACTAGACCATAAGATCTAGGGCTAGAGAAGAAATTACATCGTTCAGTTCCATAATTATAAAGAAGAGGAAGTGAGTCCAGAGAGGTGAAATGACTTACCCATGATCATTTTAAAGGATATGAACAATTAATTTGAGTAAGGCAAAGTATTTTCAGAAATGACTAATGTACAAACAAAAGGTAATTTTTTTTCTTTCTGTTTCTTTGTTGTTCATTCATTTTCAGTCATGTCCAAACCTCATTCAAGGTTTTCTTGGCAAAGATACTATAGTGGTTTGCCATGTTCCTTCTCCCAACTCATTTTATAGATGAAGAAACTGAGGCAGATGGGGTATAGTGACTTACCCAGGGTCACACAGTTAGTACGTATCTGAGGCCAGATTTGAACTCAAGAAGATGAGTCTTCCTGATGTAGGCCCAACGCTCTATCCACTGTACCACCTAGCTGCCCCTCTGTTTCTTTACTATGACATAATTTTTACCATACGTATTTTTTAACATAATGCTCTTTTTTTTCTTTTTGATGACTCTCTTAGGGCATATTCCTTACAATTGGATTATTAGGTCAAAGTGTATAATGATTTTTCATGATTCTTTTTTATATTTTCAGATTACTCTTCTAAAGGAATCTACCAGCTCACTATTCCAACTAACAATGTATGAGTGTTCTGGTTTTTTCACAGTCCTACTAGCATTAGTTTTGTTTCCTTTTAGTTATTTTTGTCCATTTGCTGGTTGTGAAGTGGTACCATAAAGTTGTTTATATTTGCATTTTTCTGAATATTGAGGTTTAACTTTTTTCAGGTAGTTATATGTGTAACAATAGTATATGTATCTTCTTGTGTAAATTATCCCATCATCTTTTGATGTGACCTTTGGCAAGCTACTATATCTTTCTGGGCCTCAGTTTTCTAATCTATAAAATGTAGGGTTTGGATTAGATCTCGCCATATCCCTTTAAGCTCTCATTCCTGAAATCTCATACTACATCCCTCCAGTCCCCTTCAATCTCTGTGCTCCAACTAAACCAGACTGTTCTTTGACCCCAAACACATACACCATTGTTCCTTGGTGTCTTTATTTATGCTCTTATTCCCTATATTTAGAATTCCCACTCTCCATATCTTTGCCTGTTGTGTTCTTAACCGGCTTTTAAAATCCAATTCATAAGCTCCCATTTCTATGGAACTTTTCCTTTTTCTCCCAGTCTTTCACCTTAGAACATATATAACCTTTTTTTTGTATCTATTTAGTATGTAATCTTAAGAGTTGAAGCAGTGAAAAGTGAGGTAATTAAGTACAATCTAGCTTGGGAAGGAAGGAAGATTATTAAAGTATGAAACTAATTTTTTAACTTGTGAAAAAAATTTTGTTAAGAATATTCTTTTTTTACGTGCTATTTGTATAGTACCTTAAGATTTATAAAAACCTTTCCATATATCTCATTTGGTGCTCACAGCGTTCTTCTAATATAGATGACTGTATCTCTGCTGTCATCTAATATAGATGAATATAGCATATATCATTCATAAATAATGATTTAGATAGAGCTTTAGTAGGCAGGCCGTGAGATAATTCAGCCAAAAAATAAAACTATCCTGGAAAATATAAGAAACATAGTAACATATCTTTTTTAACGATCCAAATTTTTATGTACTTGTTGGGATAAGAAAAATTTGTTTTTATTGAATTATTACATATTGATATTATTATTCATATGATAAAGCATATTTTTAAACAGTTTGGAGACCTTTTCTATTGGATCAGCCAATCAGCTTAGTGTCTAATGCATACACTAAGTTTTTTAACTGTAGTTAATATGGAACAACATAAACATGGTCTTTCCTTTAGGGATTATATAATCTTGTTAGAGAGCTAGACCTAGCTACAGTGACATATAATTAACAATATGTTAAACTTATTAAAATATGGACATTACATTAAAGTCAGAGCATGATGGAGTATTTTACAAGTACTTTAACCAATATTCCTTCCTTCAGCAAGAATTTATTAGGTCATTTATTCATTTATGCATTTATTATGTATTAATATGCAAGATATTGTGGGTACAAATTTGTGTTAGCACATGAAACATTTATACAATGTATTTATACAAATTTATGTGTTTTTAAAAAATGTAATGTGTATATTTGACAGAATGAATGATAAGTAAACTTTCCCAGGGTCACACAGTCAGTTAAGTGTCTAAAAATGGATTTGAACTCAGGGCTTCCTGACTTCAGATCCAAGGCTCTATCCATTAATAATCTTAGTAACTAAATAGGACAAGCTAGAGAACTGAACCTAGAAGCAGAGAATGTTATCTGTATATTTGGAGGCAAACAGGTTAAGGAACTATTGGTGAGGGAGAGCATAAAGATTTCTAGAGGAGGATTAATGTAGGAACAAAATTCCTTTAAGATACTGCAAGTAACACGACTTTAGAGCACAGGGAAAGAGAGGGATTAGTCTTTAAGATGAGCTGGGACACATTTTCTCCCTTTCTTCTTCATTCTAAAAGTAGTCAATCTATGAGTTTTTTTTATTAAGTGCCTATATATTAGTCCCTGTGTGAGGCACTAGGGATACAAATGTGAAAGTGAGACAGTTGTTGTATCCCTCAAGGGGTTTACATTGTTTTGAAGGGATACAATATTTTCACAGACAAGGTGTTAATTAAATACAAAATAATTTTGGGAACTGACACCTTTGGTGTCATTTTCCAATAATAAACTCCGCTACAGTATAGGCAGTCTCTTATAGTCTGGTTCCTTCTGTACTCACTTCACCATGCTGCCTCACTGGATGTTGACATTTTGTATTTCTTCTTTTGATGGCTGTTCATATGCTTTGACCACTTAATTTATTGGTGAATGACTCTTGATTTTATATATTTTTATCAACTACCTCCACATCTTAGTTATCAAACTTAATATCAGAAATACTTGAAGTGAAAATTTTCTTATCAGCATTTTCTCTTCTTTTTCTACTTAAATTGATTTTGTGCAAATGTTTTTCAATTACATAATAACCAAAATTTGCCATTTTTTCTTTTGTGATCTCTTCTATACCTTGTTTGTTTATTTCTTCAAGCCATAAATATGAAAGATGCTAACTCTCTCATAAGCTTTTTTAATGACAACCTTTTATATTAAGATTACTAATTTATTTAAATATACAATGTGAGATGCTGGTCTAAATCTGATTTCTGCTAGACTACTTTCTTGACAACTACTTTCTCTAGGACTTGCTTTAGCATTATTATAACCCATTAAATTTTTTTATTAGATCCTACTTCAAATATAGCCTACCTCCTATGAAATTATTTAAATAACTTACTTCCATCATCTCTTTAATATGAAAAATCCCTCTACAGAAGTATGATGCTATTCCTGGACATACCACCTTGTATGATACTTGTCTCTCTTTCTGTAAATCCTAGATAGATCTACCCAAGGTACTGAAGGCCTTTTTCTCTTAAGACTTGAAGAGAATATCAGGGTAGCATTTAGGTTGTCTATTGTTATCACTTCCTCACATCACCAGTGTACATTTTTCCTGTATCACACATGACATGAATATTATATTTTACTCCACTTACCAAGCACAAGCATTATTGATAATAGGCTGCAACCTACTTGTACTGTGTACTTTTCCAGTGCCCTTTGGGTCATCATTTGCAGTTTAGCTACTGCTAAAACATTTTAGTGATACAAAATTTTATTTTGAATTAAATGTTAGCTCTAGGATTGGAACTGCCTTCACAGTCCTATCATCATTTTTTCTTTCTAAGTTAAGAATACAGTTATGATAAGAATACGGTTAAGTTGGTAAGTTGTAGGCAAATAGCTTGGTTACTGCTAAATCTTGTCAAAATTTTACCTTCTATCTTTTATAAAATACTAGTTTTCATTAAGATGTTTACTTTTAATGATTGTTTATTAATCATTTGCAGTGGTCTGAACCTTGCATCTGTTGCAAGACTCAGAGGTACTTGGGAGAAACTGCCAAGCAAATATGAAAAACACCTTCGAGATCTTCAAGATCTTTTTGATCCATCCAGAAACATGGCAAAGTATCGAAATATTCTTAGTAGTCAAAGCATGCAACCTCCAATTATTCCACTCTTTCCTGTTGTCAAGAAGGATATTACATTTCTACATGAAGGTATTTCAACCATAAAAAAATTCTAATAAAACTGCATTACCAAATAAAGTTTTGAGAAATTCTATTTCCATTCCACCATATACATATATATATATATACATATATATATATATATATATATATATATATATATATATATATATATATATATATATATATATATATATATATATTTAAATAAGTATTGGTGTAGATAATGGAAAAAGTTCATTTTCAACATTTGCGCATGCAGTCTTTTCATTCTAAAATTGAGTTTAAAATGTCCTCAGTCTCTTAGCTTCAGAACTCACGAAAGTACTAATCTGATATCTCTTCCAGTCCAAGCACTATAATAAGGTATGTTAACTTACTTGGGGTTTTCTCCCACTTCCTTTTTCATCATTTTCCAAATGAGGAAATAGTATTCAGAATTATTTTCCTGACTCATTCCTGCAAAATAGCTCTAAGTGGTCCCAAGAATCAAGTGTGATAGCATCAGTTGTGTGAAGCACAGATTTTTCTAGTTTTGGTAATTATACTATTCAGAAACTAGACTATTTAGAAAGTAAGTTTAGTATAGTACTACGAACATAATTACCCTCCAAATTGGACCACCAGAGAACTATGCCATTGGACTCTGCATTTCCTATATTTATTAGTTTCACTCTCTTCCACCAGTCTCTTCCACCCGCCTCCACCCCTTTACTCCAGTGTTTTGGTTTAAATTTGCTGACAGACTTAATGGTCTCTTCTTAATACTTCCATTGATCTCAAATCTCCCAGTGTTTAATTATTCTCTTTTATTAAAATAGGCTCCTTTGGAAGTATCATTCAGCTCTTTGATTAGAAACATTCAGTGCTGCATTAGAGAATAGGACTGAGCTGTATGCATGATTAAGAAATATACTTACAGGATGGCCTGGTTTACTGCATGAGCCTGCAGCATAGCTCAGTTGCTTGAAAGAGCTGATGCAGATGTCTAACCTACCACTCAATATTAACTTAAGCACAAGACAGATATTATCTCTGGAAGCCTAGCACGTGAAATGACTGTAAAATAAGTCAATGGACTCCTCAAGCCACATAAGAAGTTTTTTTTTTTTAAATTTTAGTGCCATGCCTTGTGCTCTAACAAGTTACCACCTAGGAATAGGCTTAGGTAGTTTTAGAAATTTTTGCCCTTTTAAAGGCTGTCTGGTACATTAAATAAGAATGTGATAACCCCTTCTAAATACTTAACTTTTGTCCAAACCTGATAGAGTGTATCTAGCTCCCCCACCTTTCTAAAACTGCTTTCATTTTGTAGGAAATGATTCCAAGGTAGATGGCTTAGTAAACTTTGAGAAACTAAGAATGATTGCCAAAGAAATCCGTCAAGTTGTCCGAATGACTTCTGCTAACATGGATCCAGCTGTAATGTTCCGACAAAGGTACAGAGTTGAATATAAACGTTACGTTGTGTGAATTAAGATCAAGACACAGGGTTTTGTATAGTTCTTGTATAAAATAAAATTATCATTAATTTTCAGTTCGGGGGGGGAAGGTGAGGCAATTGGAGTTAAGCGACTTGCCCAGGGTCACACAGAAACTACCATAATTATTAAAAATCATCTTTTCTGGGATTCTTAAGAAAAACTTAATAATGTTATCTTGTTTAATAATTTCTCCTACATTTAAAAATTCCAAAGCCTCTTTACTTTTGTAAAATATATGCGGTTTCTTAAGTTGTAGTAATATTGTTCAATATTTGTTGCTGCTTCTTTAGGATACTTGATGAACAGCAGATTTCATAATCAATAGTGAGCATTTTTGATGCTTAACCAAAATAAATATAAGTTTCATAGAATTTAGAAGTACTCATTGATTAATTTATATGGACTCTTTCCAAAAACCTTGCAGAGGTTTTTTTTAATTATGTTTTAATTTTTAATTACTTGTAATTAAAAATTTATGCATATGATGTTTAAAGGAGTCATTGAATTTTGTTTGATAAAACTTACACTATTAAGTAGGTCAGTTAGTGTACATTTATGGCCTTAGTCAAGTTTCTTACTCAGGCCCTGGATGTAATAACTCTGATTTCAAATTGGAACAGAAACCACCTAAACCACAAAAATTAAATTTGAGGCAGACATGGTTGTGTTAATCAATTTTTCTTTTTTGGTTTATCCTCTTTTGCCTTTTTAAACATAAATGACACTTTTGTGTTTTAAAAATGAGTACACATTTCATTCTGGCCCTCCTTCTTCTAGGACTGTTGTGTAGGGGGGTCAATGAGGAGAGTCACCAAATTGCTTTTCTTGGACTGTTGTCCAATGACTCTGCATTCTCTGTGCTTGTATTATGCTGTGGAGTCTTTCTAAGCAGATGGTGTGATTGTAGCTCTAGCTGTTAAGAAGCAGACTGCTCTGATTACAAAGAATGATTCAGGAATGGGCCCAGCTGAGAACAGACTTGAGAAATGCTGAAATGCAAGGCAGTAAAGACAGACTTAGCTGAATGACGCTGAAGGGGTGGGGGGCAGAGGTGAAGAATGTCATGGGGATGAGTGCACTAGGAGGTACTCAAAACACCAAATAAGATACTTTGATGGATAATTATTTGCGATCCTTTTGGAACCACTTTATTTGGTAGCCATACCTTACCAGGCTGTTTTAAATGTTAACATATACAAAGTCCAAATGATTTCATTTGCAAATTAAAGCTCCCAAACTGTGGTTTTAAAAATGCTTGATTGTATTGGGCCAGAAGTAAGGAAGATCTGAGTTCAAATCCACCTTTGGACACTTAACTAGCTATATGACCTTGGGCAAGTCATTTGACCTCTGCCTCAGTTTCTTCAACTGTAAAGTTAGGATAATAATAGCACCTACTTCACAGAGTTGTTGAAAGGAACAAATGAGATAATATTTGTAAAAAGTGCCTAGCGCAGTGCTGAGCACATCATAGACTTTAAATAACTGTTTGTTTGCCTTCCTTCTCCCACACTGCCAGCAGCCCCAAGTTTGAGGAATTTATTGGTTATACTTGATTGCAAAATACATTAAAGAAAAGTTTTTTAACTTAAAAATGAAATTCTAAAGCCTCTGACTGTGTAGTTTCTACCACTGTAACGTCTCTCTAAATGTTATGATGTCTGTTATGAATTATGAATGATGTACCTTAGAACAAGAAAATACTGACATTTAAAGTCTATCATATTCAAATATTGTTTTTTCTAACTTTTTCAAAAACATGAACTTTTGCTTGAGTTCATTGCCAAGTATTGGTCCCCAAATTTATATATGTCAAATACTGTGTGTTTTATGTTCTCTACATGTTGTAAATCATCATTCCACCTTATCCCCCCTACCCTCGTGTTCCATTAAAACCATTTATTTCCCTAGTAGGAAATAGTGTTGTTTTTTTTTTCCCTGTTAAAGTTTTCTTTTCTCTTCTATCTGGATAGTTTCTCTGACTCTCATCTATGATCTTTCTCCTGTGCTTTCCTATTCAAACACGTGCTTGAATGTTTATGGGTCTTGCTTACAGGAAGAAGAGGTGGAGGAGTTTGGGGTAAGTGTAGAGATGAATGCAAATAAGATAAAAGTTATGCAATCCTTAACATACTGCATCCTTCTCATTAGTGCATGCCTATAAAACAGCATGCATTGTATTAACCTTGTAATTCTGCATTTTGGATAAATGCCCTTTCCTTAAAGGACACAAAAGTGGTAATGAAGCTTCCTGTTTTCCTTTTAAGTTTCCATGTCAGTCTCCTACATCATAGAGAGCACCTTTGTTTAGGAGGTTCTTAAGGTCTATATTTATTACTATGACAGATTTAATGAAAGTAGATGAATCTCAAAGATTTATATTTAAAGAGATAAAGAGTAATTACTATGAAAATCTTTTGAAAGGTGCTTTTTTTTTTAAACCCCAGGCAGCAGTTATCTCAAAGGGCATCCCACAAATCTTAACATATACTTTTAAATGATTCATTTTAAATTAAATATTTCTGCAGTTATTAGAAACACAGGGGAGTATTACTAAATCAAACATATGGTAGTGGATTATAGCACTAAAGGTTGGGAATCTGGTATGGGACATAGCCAAAGCTCTTGAGTTCAATAAGATTTATTCAATTAAGCCTTTGTGGTCAATTTTCTTGTGGATTTGGTTTAATATAATTAAATCATGGTTAACATAGTAAAAATAATAAAGCTTTAAAGCATTTTTAAAGCACATTTGTAAAAATTCTCTTCTATGGATAGTTGCTTTTTGTGGGCAAGGGATCCTGATTTCTTTAGTGTATAGAACATTGTGTGAAGAAACCACTAAAGTAGACGAGCAACTCAAAGGATCACAGAACTGGGGAGTTGAAAGGCACTTCATCTGCCATCTAGACAACCTATCCATGAAACATCCCTGACAAATGACATTTGCTTGCTTCAAGCCTTTGCTTGAAGACCTCCAAAGGAAAGAGAACTCACCACCTTTCAAAGCACCTCATTCCACTTTCAGACAGCTCTAATATATGACATTTTTCTGGACATCAAGCCTTAAATGGCCCCTTTGCAACTTCTTCCTATTGTTTCTTGTTTTTCCCTCTGGAGCCCAATAGAGCATATCTATTCCCTTCTCCATAGCAGCCTTTAAGATACTTGATGTTACTTATAATGTCTTTCCTAAGTCATTTTCAAGTTAAAACATGCCTAGTTCTTTCAACAGATCATCTTATGTTCTGGCCTCATGGTCCTTCACTATCCTGGTGGTTCTCCCGTGCTCTTTCTTTAGTTGATCAGTATCCTTAAACTGTCATTCCTGTAACTGAACGCAATACTCTGGGTAAGGTCTGGTGAAAATGGAACATGGTGAAATTCTCATCTCCTTATTCCCAAAAGCCATGCTAGCCTTGATGCAGCCCAGCATCACATTGCTGAGTCATTGAGCTTGCCATTCATCCAGGTCCCTAGGTCTTTTTCAGAACTGCTGCCTAGCTGTGCCTCTTCCATCTTTTACTTAAGAAATTGACTTTTTTGTATCCAAATACAAGACTTGACTGTTATCTGTAATGAAATCTTTGTCCCATGATCTCTCTTCTGATGATCTTTTTGGATCTTGTCTCTGTTGTTCAGTGTGTTCGTCATCCCTTAGTTTTGGATCATCACAAATTTGATGAGCATTCCATGAATTTATTATATATTTTTTTCCAACTCACTGATGAAAATGTTAAACGGTACAGAGCCCGGTATACCTGGGCTAATTCACTAGAGATGTCTTCCTAATACATCAGCCAACAAACATTTATTAAGTGCTTACTGTTTGCCGGGCACTAGGGATTCAGGTACAAAGAATTAAACATCTCTAATTGACATTGAATAGTTATTGCTTGTGTTGGGACAATCAGCCAGTTCTGAATGCATCTTACTGTATTCTAATCTTGTCTACAGTATTTTTCTGTCTTATCCAGAAGAATAATTTGAGATATGTTTTCAGAAGCTTTTATAAAACTGAAGTTAACTATATCAGTAGTATCCCCCTCATCTACTGGATTAGTTATCCTGTCAGAAGAGGAAAGTAAGGTTAGTAGTGTAGCATGTTGTTCTTGATGCAGCCATGTTGGATCTTTTTTGTAATCACCGCTTCCCATTCTGGATGCTTACAATCATCCATTTTATTAATAATCCTTTCTACAGTTTCCCCAGGAACAAAAATCAAGCTCATTGGTCTATAGTCTGCAAACTCTGTTCTCTTCTTCTTCTTCTTCTTCTTTTTTTTTTAAGTCAGTTGCTCTTCTCCAATCTTGTACCTCTCCCATTTTCTATGGTCTTTCAGGTATCAGCTAGGCAGTCATATCTGCCCATTCTTTCAGTACCTGAGGCTGTACTTCATCTGGGCTACTTTTAACCTCCCTCTTCCTTCCTTTTCCCTCTCCCCCATTTTCTTTCTCTCTGTTTCTCCTCACCTTCCTTCCATCCTTCCCTCATTTCCTCTTCCCTTTCCCCTTCTTTACTCTCCCTTCATCTTCCTTTTCTTCTTCTTCCATCTTCCTTCTTCCCTTTCACTCCTCATTCACTTCTTCCTCCCTTTCTCCTTCCTCATGTGCTTCCTTCCCTCATCACTTCTTCTTCTTAATCCCTTCTTTTGCCCCTCTCTCATTTATCTTCCTCTCCTCTCTCAATTGCCCTCCCTTCCCTTTTACCACCTTTTCTTTTCCTTTTTTTCTTTCTTCACCTGTAAGATAAAGTTGTTGGTCTAGATAATCTCTAATTCCCTCTCAGTTATAAAATCTTATGATTCTGTGGAAGTAAAGAGACAGAACTGTCAATAAATTTTGCCCCTTCATGTTACTTATACCTGTGCTCCATCTGAATATACATACTGTAGAAATAATCACACATATACTGTTATAGTATGCAAGTCATATATTCAACTATGCATATATGAGCATGTCAGCATATCAAACGTGTACACCATATAGCCATATATAGACATATTTATGTCTATGGGGAAAGGGAGAAGAATCAAATATGTTTAAGGATATTTGGATTAGTTTAGGTCTCTAGGGAATCATTTAGTGCTACCATTTTACACAAGGATTTTTTACCTTCCATAGATGAGTAAGGATAATGAGAAAAGAGCATGAAGTTAAAACAATTGCTTACAGCGTTTAAGATCCTGTGATCTTTTGAATGGGCATACTTGAAATTCCATTCCTATTTTTTCTAAGCCAAGGCCTTTGCTTAATCTGAAGACGGCTTTCTATCCTGTTTCTGGCTTTCATTTGTTTTTTTGGTAATCTTTGCTTTTCTTAATGTGGTCCTAACCCTTGACTGAACATACCTGTCATGTTTGCTGTGCCTTCATATGTTTTTCCTATGTTATGTTTTGTCCTTTCTGACTTCCCTTGCAAAACATTTCTGTCCCTGTGCCAAGAATGTTGTTCTGATCATAATTTTTGCCAGTTACTTGTGTATAAATGGTCTGTATTCCCAGTCCTTTTCCTGTTTCTTCCATCGATGGGTTATCTTGAAAGTATATTTGTCAACATTAGTTATTATTTTTTGCACATCAGAGCATTTTCCTAAAATGTGTTCCCAAATACAAGTACTTGATTTGAGACTTTTTCATTTTATTATATTCAAGGAGGGTTTTCTGGTGTCTTTGAGTAATGAGATTATTGAGTAAAGAAATCACCAGAAGATAGATGATTTTTTCCACTAGTATATATTTATACACTTGTATATTTATACAAGTTGATGGTTGCTAGAATTTATTCTATGTGGCCACCATTCAGTTGTCCATGCAGTGCAAATTGTTTTGAAATAAGTGAGTCCAAAAGTTAACCATTTTGTAATTGGAATTTCGTTAGCAAGAACAAGATTCACGGACATTGAAATTGTTTTCTTCCCAAATTGTAGCAGAAGGCATTATGGATAAGAGTTACAAAGGAAGAATTAGAGTGAATAAGCTGTTCCACTTTTTGCTGCTGCTGCTTGCTGCTGCTGCTGCTGTTGTCCCTGCCCTAGACTGTTCTGCCTTGTACTATTCAGAAGAATTAAGATAAGATAGGTAGAAGGCAGAGACCAGTTCCACGGTGGGGTGGAGGGCAAGGGGGATGGTAATGGGAATTTTTTGTAGCCAAGGATCTCCCACTGCCTCTGGGGACCACTGCATTTGTGCTTAACCTTACTTATCATTAATGGGTCCTATACAAATGTCGCCAGTTGTAAACATGGCCTTACATACTATATGTTTAATTCCCAGTGAGTCTGGGGAGAGAGTGAGGCCCAGTTACTGGATTAGCAACTAGGGTCACTGGTTTATGTATTCTTATTTATTTTCTTGACATGGCATACCCTTCCTGTCACTTCTACAACATGGACCTATTGTGATTATAGATTTAGAATTAGAAGTCATCTTTTTACAGATGAGGTAACTGAGGCTGAAAGCAATTCATTGATTTGCCCCCAGTTGCATAGCTAATATGTGGAACAGGATTTGAACTCAGGCCTTTCTTACTCCAGCCCGACCCTCTATTTATTCTATCACATAAATGACAGTGGTGAGTGAGGGCAGGAGCTAATTTAGCCTTCCTTCCTAGAGTCTAACTGGGCCTTCTAGATTTAGGCTAGAGTCAGGGTGGGGGGGGTGTCAGCTGAGATGGTCTTTCCTGCTGCCTTCTAGCACCTGTGCCAAAGTCGCAGGATAGACACAGTCAGAAACACCTTACCTCATTCATAGCTAGTTTTTACCTCATTTTTGTGAATTCTGCATTTTTCTGTATAACCTTTTTCTTAATTCAGAGCAATGCCACATCATCGAGCCATTTTAAGAAATTTATTGTTATATTAATGCTATTCACCCTTTAACTCATTAGCATCAGCATGCAATAGCATTAACTGAAGGGATTGAATTAATCTGTGCCAGCATTTTAGACTGATTTCTCACTAAAAAGTTCATTGAAAAAACTATTTTTCATCTGTTATCTTTCTGTAGATCATTGAGTCAGGGCAGCACAAATTCAAACATGCTGGATGTTCAGGGAGGTGCTCACAAAAAACGGGCCCGCCGAAGCTCACTGCTGAATGCCAAGAAGTTGTATGAGGATGCTCAGATGGCTAGGAAAGTGAAGCAGTATCTTGCCAACCTTAATGTGGAAACTGATGAGGAAAAGTTCCAGATAATGTCCCTACAGTGGGAGCCTGCATATAATACTTGTAAGTAGCAGTGCCTCTGCCTTGTACGTTTCTGTAGCACCAGGACAAAGGGAAGAGCCTACCTTTACTCCACTGACTTAAACACTAAGAGTGTTATTCCGTGCAAACCACACCAAGATGATTTATTTTTGAGGTACTCTGGAAAATACTAAAAGGACCTTGTTAGTGATTGAGAAGACTTTGTGCCCTTAACTATATTTAAGAGTTTAGGGGGAAAAAAAGAACGTTGAAAAATTATTTTTCTCCAATAGGTCTTTAGCAGATCGTTCATTATTTCTTCCTGTTATTTTGTGCAGCTTGCTGCATGACTTCTTTTTTGAACTGGAAGAAACTTGGAACAGTAGCTTTCATTTGGTCATTCTGCACTTGGATGGACAATGTTATGATCCCTTTAGCCATTGCTCTTCCAACTCCCAGTTTTATCCTGGAGCATTGAGGGGGAAATTGTATAGTGGGGTGTGTGTATGTGTGTCATTGAGAACAGCCCACTCATTTTATAGATGTCAGTCGGTCAGTCAGCATTTATGAAGCACAGGCACCATGCTAATAAGCAATAGGAATGCAAATGTAAGCAAAAAGAGAGAAGCCCCTGCTATCCAGGAGCTTGCATTTTAAGGAGGAAAACAACACATAAAAGAAAACTGAAAATGTGTGGGTGTAAGGGAGGGAAGAGAAAGTACCTGGTACCTGGCATGATGGATAAGTCCAGAGTAGCGTAGCGCTGGGTGGGAAATAAAAAGATGGCTGGCCTGGGCATCCATCTTAAAAGGAGGTTCTGGGAGGAGCCCTCCACTCTCCAATCAGAAGGAGGGGTCCCAGGGTCAGAGGTTACTGATGAACGATGAGTTCCATGGCTGAAGTTATCTTCTGATGAAAAAGGAAACTGAAACACAAAAATATGTACAGGGTGCCTACTGAACATTAAAATGAAAAAAAATGTACCAGATAGATGTTTTTCACAGCATTTGAGCAAGCTGAATTACATTTATTAACAGGATGCAATACATAAAGGGAACAGCCTCTGCCTGATATGGTGGATAGGGCCCTGGACTTGAAGTCAGGAAGAAATGCAATAAAGTGCTGCATCAGACACATATTAGCTATATGACCCTGGTTAAGTCACTTTCTTTCCAATTAGTCTCTTGAGTTTTCTCATAAATAGCCTCAAAAGGATGTGAATAAAATGTGGGTGTGACAGTAAAGTAATGAGTCGATTAGTATTGAGAAGGAAGAAAGAGAACTTTTAAGATTTAAACTGTGAACCTGTAATTAGGCAATCAAGATTTTCCAAAATTAAGAATAGAAGGGGATGCTGCTTTGGGTTCAGTGACAGCTCTTGGCATCCGTGATAGTTACCATAGCCTTTCTCTAAACAGTTGAATTGACCTCAGCAAATGAAGCAGAATATTCCAAGGTGTATTATTTGTCTTTTATATCAGAATGGCAGTTCTGTTGAGGAAAAGGGTTTTTTTTACCTTTTCCTTTTTTTTGTTTGTTTAGGGAGGTTTTAATGATTTATTTTGAGAAACATAAGGAAGTAGTTCTTGAATATTGTAAACACGTGCCATCAAGATCATCACATGACTAGCTAGGCAGAATTTTGAGAGATAAGCTTACCATACTAGTTTTGCCTTTGCCTGCAGCAACACATAGGCACTTAAAAAAAAAAAACAAACCAGTTCCAGAAGGGCTGGAGGAAAGAGAATAGAAGAAATGTCCTTTTCTTCCTCCTCTTTTAAAAAAAGTAGTCTTGTTGATGCCTTTTGTCCTGAGGGAAGTCTTTTGCCTCTCTCTGTATTCCCAGCACTTAGTACAGTTTGGGCTTTTCTTGTCAAAGATGCCGGAATGGTTTGCCATTTCCTTCTCCACTTCATTTTGCAGATGAGGAAACTGAGGTGTATAGGATTAAGTGACTTGCTTAGGGTCGCACAGCTAGTAGGTATCTGAAGCTGGATCTGGAGTCGGGAAGATGCCTTCCTGACTTCAGGCCTGACGCTCTACCCACCGTGCCACCAAGCTACCTGCTTGGCACACAGGAACTTAAATGTTTATCTATTGATTTTATACCACAATCACTTCCCAATACTATCCCCAACCCCACTCTACCTCACCCTTCCCCGTGGAACCATCTCTTTTAACAAAAGAAAAAAAAACACGTCTTCATCTGATATTTCTTACCTATATTCTGTTGCCTCTTTACTGAGAGGAGAAAACTATGTTTACTTTTTAACCAGTATTGGTCGTTGCTTTGAATTTGAATTTTTTGTCTTTTAGTGTTTTAGTGTTCTTTTCATTTAAATTATTATGGTCCCTTTGTATACTTTTTTGATCCTGGTTTCTCACTTTGTCTTAGTTCATACAAGTGTTCCCATGCTCTGAATTCATCATAGTCATGTGAAGAATAAAATTATATTCATATGCCACAGTTTGTTAAAATATTCTTTAGGGGAAGGGCACTCAATTTTCCCCATTTTTTTGGTACTATAAAAAACAGTACATAGACTTTGAAAGTAATTTGCCACCATAGTCCAGCATAGTTCTTGTAATCCATGTCTTCTACACATTGTGAGTAACTCATCAATGCTGTCGGTTTGGCATTTGAAACAAGGTAAAGAAAGGAAGTGTGTATTATCCTGAAGCTGAATCTTTATTAATATTATCTGAACTATATCCATTGTATCACAATGAAAGACCAGAGACACCTCTAAGAGGATGGATTATTTTTCCTATGCTGGGATAATAAAGATAGTGGAACTTAGGCATTTCACATTTTTTCAACTTTAATCACAATTTTAAAATATTACACAAAAAGTTTCATTTGTGTGTTGTGATGATTCCTGAAAAAAATGCAAAAATGAAGCTGTTTTATTTTATATTTTTAAGTTAAACTCTTTTTGAGACATTAACCTATAAATATAATCTTTACAATGTTGCACTACCAATAGCGCTTTGAAATAATGTTGTTAATAAGTTGTAACTCAAGCTTTTTAGTGATAACCTAAGATGCAAATAGGAAGGTCTGACTATGGGCCGTGTCCCCTGTTACATTGTATCACCTAATAGTATCTTTTCATAGCTCTAGACCACAGTATCATATGGAGAATGTTTCTACATTGTTAATCTACTAACTGTTGTAGAGGAGGTTCTTTTTTTTTAAGTTGGGCTTTGTAGTATCTGAGGTTATGTCCAACTTTGAGATTCTGTGGTTCTACTTCTGATGTAATATGCTTGTCCAAAATATAAACTATTTTAAAAAGTAATTATTGTCTTAAGTGGGACTATAATAGTTCTGTTGAATAAAATATAAGGTGACTTACTTCCTATTTACCCGTAAAAGTGACCAAGAATTTAAGTGAAAGACGATCAACAAAATCATCAGAAATGTCTCCGGTACCCTTGAGATCAGTTGGTCCGATCACAAAAGCCCATCTGCATCAGCCAAACAGAGTGAGCCAGGTGCTTCAAGTTCCTGCTGTTAATTTGTACCCCATCAGGAAAAAGTGTCCAGCAAAAGAGCATGTTGCATTTGGTGAGTATGTGTAGTGAGCTCTGAAACCTCTTAAATCAGAGGCTGAGCTGCTGTTTACTTAAATGCTAAACATGACGTAGCTGAACTTTAATTTCCATGGTAGCACAATTTGTGGATTAGTTTTATTTCAGTGAGTAGAACAAATCTACTATATGCTCTTTAGATGCTCCTTAATGAAAGCTTCTATCTTCCTTCATATTATGTCTTTGAAACTTTCACCATTGTAATTCAGAAATTGAAGTCCTTGCAAATCTAAAAATCAGTAGAATACTAATGAGCTGAAACTGCATGTAATGATTTACCATCATTATGCCTGTTTCTGTTCTAAATGTGAAGAATAAATTATGGTGTTAACAGTTCATACACTGATTAAATTTTTAATGCAGGTGTAGTGCTGAATGCTTGCCATTCTCATCTACTTGGGTTAAGAGTCAAGAGCTTGATTCACTGAATAGTAATCAAAGCAGTTCAAATGAGATGAAAAAGTTAACTTTCCTCTTTCTTGGGATCAGTTTCTTCATTTGTCAAATAAGAGGGAAAGATTAAAGAGACTAGATGACCTGTGGTCCCTTCTAGCTCTAAATCCTATGAACTTACAGGGTTGAAATTTGGAAGCATGTGTTTTTTAAAGAATGGGCTACACTCATTAGATCTATAGTTTGGCTTATTTCTGATTATTGTTCATGTACTGCTTCCCACAGCTGCTAAGTGAGAAGCATACAGAGTCAGGTAGCAAAATAATGTGACAAGTTTATATGGCAATGAAGCACAAAATATAGTGATCTTTTTTGACACGAATACATCATAGTCTATTCACTTAATTTTACTCCTATGTAATTTGCAAATCCTGAAGCACTAATCACATCCTGCTACCTAGATATGAAAAAAGATTAATAGGGAGGTCACGTGGTATGTAGTGGAGAGAGTTTGGACTTTGGAATTAGAGGACCTGGGTCAAACTCAGGCTTTGCTCCTTATATTGTGTGACCTTAGGTTACTTAATCTTTCTGGACCTTTTGATCTTCAAGGTTCCTCTTTTCTTTAAGTCCTGTGATCCACATTAGAGTTTAATATAGAGGGCAGACATCCTGTCCTGGTCCCATGACATTTTCCTGCTCCATTAAATGGGAACCTCCACTGCATTTCCAGAGTTCTTCCACATGGAATTGAATAAGGAATGCTAATATTAGACATTCACCCCTTCCTTTACCTTCTTAGGATACTCTGGGGAGCAGGGAAAGGGAATGTGTCCTCCCCACCCTTTCACTCTCTGCCAGCTACACACTAATTTTCTGTAAATTTATTTTTTGTTGTTGTGTAATTTTTTCCTTCAGTATGAATTTAGTGCTCATGAAAGGGGCTGCACTGACAGCTCTGTAGTCTCCTTTGTTCATACATACACAGAGCATAACACTACAGGTAGTTTCAGTGCAAAGTTTCCCACACTTTCCCGTTAACATATCCGTGTACTGCTAGAAGGAAGAGGAAAGCTAGAACCTTGCTTTCTCTGTTAAGACTACTGAACAGTGACACATTTGTGAGGAGTGCAGTGTATGGCGGGTGGTTGGTTGTCTTGTTTGTGAGTCATTGTTCTCAGATTACCAAATTTCTTTCCCTTGGGCTACCAGAAAAGAAAAAGTTACCAGGTCGTGGGCACTGCTGACATAGACTGAATTTGAATTGGAAGCCTAGAGATGAAAATCTCTGTATACCATTACCAAACCATTCACTATCCTTTGTCATTTACATATTTCACTTGACTGTAATAGTCCTTCTGCATTATGATTTTAGTTGTTCAGATAAATATGAATAATAAAAATTGGGTAGTTTTACTTGTGTCATTCTTTTGTTTTCATTTTAGGTACAAGTGCGCCACAAAAAATTTTAGGAATGTCTGAAGAAGTGAGTGGTAAGAAACTAGCAGAAGATACTTTATCAATGTCATCATCTTTGCATTCTAGCCCTCCTGCATCTCCTCAAGGTTCTCCTCGCAAAGGTAGGGCAAAGTCTCATGAAGTACATCTCTTGTTAATAAACCTCAAATATATTTTCCCGTAAACTGTTCTAATAAGAGGAATTGATGCTCACAAGTTTTTAGTGAAGAAGTATAGTTTTTAATATTAAAAGTTAAATCTTAAACTTGTTTATATAAAGCCTAAAATGTTTATCCTTCTTAAGTTTCATTACTATAATCACCCCCCCCCAAAAAAAAGTCCTAATTGTGAGCATTAACGACTTAATTGAAGTAAGAGAGTGCAGCCCAGACTTCTGGTTATTTTCTTAATGCTTTTATCAGTCACATTATCACATTGAATTATTTATAAACACTTCATTCTGGAGAAATAAGAATAGGACTTTCACTAATAAAATTATGTTTTTAGATTACTACAAAATTAGAAATAAAAATAATAAGTTGATTTTTAGCTACCACTTTAAAGTGTTAAATTAGTTTACAAAATTTAAAATAACTCCACTATTGATAAATATATTCACAAATGTGCTGAAGTTTAATAACTGCTGAATCTGCAGTCTTAAACACAAAAAGTTATTGATTATTTGACATTCTTTTGAGTTATAACATTTTTTAATCTAAGAGCTTTTTCATTGTTCAGCTTAATAATTGAGAGTTGGTAGTTTTTAATATAAACTGCATTCGTTGGATTGCAAATGACGTTATCTGTGTGTGTATGTGCGTGTATGTCTGTGTGTATCACACACCCATGACTCTTGCTTCAGCCCTTCAAGACGCATGATGTTTATATATACTTAGGCAAAAGAGCTGCCTATGGGTATTGAAAGTCATCCAATCAGCCCTGTCGATGAAATTAGATGATGTGTGCCAAGCACTTTTTCTGTAAAATAGGATAATGGTACAAAACAAATATCTTATTGTTATTTTGTTTTATTATTTTCTTAGAGATATTGAGGGCCTTGCTCTTAAGTTTCTCCTCACATAGTAGGCTGTGACCACTTTGGGACAATTTTTTGAAGGGAAATTGGTGTAATGGAGAGATTCTTAACTTTTGTTGTTTTAAAGATACCTTTGGTATTGAAACCTATGGACCTCTTCTCAGAAGTGCATAAAGTGCATAAGAAAAAATAAATTGGTTTACAAAGAAAACCAATAAAAAAAAAACCCAACAAGCAATATCACCCTGACTGTGACTTAAGGCATAGTCATGGGAAATGGAAGATAAAAGAAATCCTTCCTTTTCTCTTCTCCCTTGTGGAAAGCCCTGCTCTCACTATTATGGTGCTCAGAACCTGGTTCTAAATTTATTTCACATACCTTTCCATGGTCTGTAGTTGAGTATGATTTTTATAGATTGGTATGAACCAAGGTTGCATTTTATCTCATGAAGATGTGAAGAGATTATTTTGAGCTAATTCCTTAATGTGAATCTAATATAATCATATTCTGTCCACTTCTACAAAACTAATTTCCAACCAAAGATTAGTTTCACTTTTTATATCTACATACAGAATTTTGACCTATTGGGTAGTATAATTTTCCACACAGTCAATGATTACTTTTGAGAATCTCTTCTCAAATTTTTTTGCAAAAGTGATTTTAAAGAAATAGTAGCAAGAACCTGTGATATTCTGTTATTCCCAAGACCCAATTTCAGAGGACTACGTATGTATGTAAAAAGTTTCTCTGAGGCTTTATTTAAGGGTTCTTGTCAAATTATTTCCACTGAAGTTTTCAAGAGGAACTTCTCTTGTGACATGCGATTTCAATTAATTTTCTTCTGGTTTCCTGAGAATCTTTATTTTCCAAATGGTTGCATTAGTTTAACTTGCTTTTAACAACAAAAAAAGCACCAATGTATTTTAGTCAAAGCATTTTTTTCTTATACGTTGTGCTGACTTTTGATTATTTTAGTAAAATTACACAAGTAATTCAGTAAGTATCTCTAGTACTTTGATAGCAGTAGATTGCTAACTTTCTTGATTCTTTATCTAGTGTTAAGCTTAAATAAAAATGATAGTACTTTATAGGTGTCAGAAAAATTCAATTGAAAAAGTGAGAGTTTTTGCATATTTCCTTCTAGTTGGCAATATCAGATCTGACCATGGCAGCCAGCTGCATCTTTATGGGTCCTCCTCATGCCTTACCAGTGAGACCAGCACCAAGACCAGTGGCCCTCGAAACTGCGGAATAGGTGGGGTTTATTTGCAAAAGAAAATCCTTCAGATTACTGACAGTACAGCCAGAAGAACAGACAGAATTGAGAAGGCCACTGAGGAAACTAGAAACAGGACAGATTATGACAGCACAACCAGGAAGACAATAACTTCCACATTTAGAAGATTTAGGGAAAGGACCCTATCGAGGGAGAGAATAGTGATTAACAGGAAAGTGACTGCAGATTCCTTTCAAGACACAGAGAGCTCTGGAAAGGAAAAGGCTATTGGAGGATATTTCGTCAGGGATGAAAAAGAAAGGGACATCTCCGACACAGCTAGCCAATGCACCAGGAACAGTCTCAACTGTTTATGTCTGCTGCTCAATCTTAAAAGAAGGAAGACACTCTAAGATGGGATTTAAAAATATTTTATTTTATGTTAGCATTGAATTTGTTTTATCATTAATATGAATGTAAATTCCTAATAGTTTACATTCTTTGTCTATTTATATAGAAAGTCTAGGCAAAGAGACTGGTAAAATTGCATTTGTCCATGTTAGTGCTAAGATTAGAATTTCTGTAGAAGTAAAAAAAAAAATAAAAGAGTGTGGAATTAAAATGCCATAGTTTTACGTATGCTGTTTTATTAGTATATTGAGATAATATTTACTCTGGAAAACTTTTTATATTTTATTTCCTACTGACAGCAACTGATTTGGGGTAGGATATCGGGTAGGGAGTCTAAAGATACTTAGTTTTCAGAAAACCGAGTTCCTTCCTTATACAATAAGCTTCCAAATATCAGTGATATGGTTAGCAAACATTTTCCACTTTGATTTTGTTTATAATCATATTTCCTTGGGACTAACCAGATGATGATTACTTGTTTAAAATTAGCTGTTTTGGGACCAGTTAGAAAAAGTAACTTCTTGCTTTCAAGAAGGGATAGATGAGCCAAGTTTTCACTCTTGGCTGTTTGAATATCTTTGATATAGTTTAGTAGATAAAAATTTCAGGTGATTAAGGAGGCCATCATAAGGATGGACATACTTATGTCCTAAGTAAGAAATGTCTTCAGAACTATACATTGAGAGAATAATGATATAATCTCTTCCTCTGGAGTTCTGTAATCTCACTCAGACGCTAGGATTGTCTGTACCTTCAAGAAAAAAGAAAAAAGATTTTTTCAGGGTAAGTCCTAAAGAGGTCGTTTAATTCTTTCCTGGAAATCAGTTAACATAAGGGAAAGCAGCCTGGTACAATGGAAGGAACCTTGGATCAGTTACCAGAAAATCTGGATTCTAATTCAGACTATGCCATTGTCCCTGGACAGGTAATTTCTAATCTGGGCTTCAGTTTCCACTTTTGAAATGAGGAATTTGAACTGGATGACTTCTAATCTCTTCCAGCTCTTGTTTTGTGATTGTAACTACTTTCTGTTGCTTGCTCGATTGCCAGGTGGATCACATTTTAAGTAATAATTGTTTTCCTTTACTCCTTCCCCCCCCCCCACACACCTCTTTAATATTAAATGCTTCTGCTTCATAGGGTTATTGTGAGAACAAATGGAAAAGAATATGTTTAGGTAAATTCTTAAGCTTCATAGGATTATAAAGCTGGAAGGAACCTTAGAAGTCATATATTGCAGCCTCTGAGGAGAAATAGGCCCAGAGAAGCTGTGATTTGTTATGATTTGGACTTCCCTGGCAGAGCCAAGCTTAGAATTTTGTATGAAAATTTCATATGTCCCAATTATTTAGAAGTATTAGATAACTTTGGTGTGTGATCTGTAAAAAATGTTCCCCAAACTTGGGGAAAAATGAAGAATGATACCATATGTCCTTATCCTAAGGATGGCATTAAATTTACCTGGAAAGGAAAGTGATATTGTAAGGAAGAATCGTAGGGTGAAGGAGGTTCTTCCTGTGGAATATTTTGAGGCACTATTTCTAAATGATCATTTCACAGACATTTCACATTCTTTTCATATAGGGTTCACAATGCTTACAGTGACTCAAGAACCCAAACCAGCATACATATGATCTGTTGACATCGAAGTAAAATCTCCATGGATGTCATAACCAAAATGATTCCGGGGGGGGAAGGGGAAGTAGTAGCCCTCCTTTTCCGCATTTGAATTTGAAGATAATTATCACAATATATCAAGTAATTTTATATAGGCTTATTTGATTTGGACTTGTGGTTTGACAACCAGGGATTTCATTTTTGCCATAATTGATTTTGGGATACTTAATTATTCAAGTTAGCTATTAATTGTTTCCATTATTATTCTATAATAATAGCAGGTCACATGTAGTATTCTGAAGGCTTTTTTTCTTTTTTTGGTAACTACAGCTCTGTCACATTTTTAAAAAATTAAGTCACACCTCATTTATTGTGTAAGAGTGCAGTTCATTGCACAGTGAGTTTGTTGCAGCCTCACTTTGTCCAGGGCCTGTACTTTGAATTTCCTTTCTACTAATTGGAAACATATTTACCCTGATCTCATCATGCTGTGGCTCATTCCTCTTTATGAGTACAGCACACAAATTCAAGATGATTGGCTGTAGATATTTTGTTCATAATTGATACTGTTGAAATTGTTTGTTATTATTGTTGGGTTGTTTTTTCTCTCTTTTGCAAAAGATCAGAGAATGATGGCAGTTGCACAACAATTAAAGCTCCATCTCCTATTGAAATATCAGTTTTCGTATGGGTGAACTGAACTTCTTCAAACTGATAGATTGTTTCTTTCATTGAATGAATCCATATAGAGGAATGAGAACTATTAATGTGCAGACCATTTGTCCTAGAGAAGACTTTATGGTTTTTTAACCAGACTTCTAGAGAATATCCTAAATACTTC